ATATATATATATATATATATATATATATATGATGTTAAGTTTTGTGTTATTATTTTTAACTAATATGTATATGTATATTAAACGTAATATCTAGGGTAAAGTTGGATAAGATTACCATCTTTAAAATGCAAAAAACTTTAATTTTTATTATTTTTAATAGTGTTATATCCACCATACCGAAAAGATATACCAATATAACACTATTAAAGATAAATTAAAATATGTTTTTTGCATTTTAATGACAACCATCTTATCCAAGTTTACCCTATACCTAATTGAATGAAGTGTACTTACTGTAACTTTAATCATTAATCAGCGCATTCGCGTCTGACATTTGAGACCAAATTTTATATTTTAGATCTTGCTCTAATGTCAATGCAAAATTCGATTGTATTTGTATTATTACTGTCACACTGCACTTTGAGTTATTAATCATTTGCGATTTATAAGATCTACTTCGAAGTTATAATAATTTGTAATAATAATAATAATAAATAATAACAACAAAAACAACAATAATAATAATAATAATGAAGATGATAATGATAATTTTGCAATAATAATCTGTATTAGATGACGTTTTTAATTTTATATTGCTTATATTATTTTACTGTCTTTTAAGAATGTAATATCGCAGAAGAGAAAGGGTGGTTTCCAATACGTACGTACGCGTTTAACTACAACTCGGGTGTCTACTGTATAAAACTCTATAATTAGTCAAATCATTATCTTATCAAGATACCGAAAAGTAAATATCCATCTTAATAAAAAGTTAGTTTATTTGACACCATTATTTGTTACGGAGTCAATAACATTTAACATGTAGTCCATAATTATGTTTGAAACATTTATGCGGACCTATGCGCTATTCGAGCAAATTTGTTAAATATGAGCATTATGTATTTCGTGAATCTTATGTAAAGAATATTTTTTCGAGTGTAAAAGCATAATTCGATACTTTGATCACTATATATGTACAAGCTAGCTACTTCTCGTTAGTTTCTCTCTCTCTCTCTCTCTCTCTCCCTTTCTCCTACATACACAAACATAAACGCTCGCGCGCACGCACACACAAAATTAGTTAAGAATATTATTTATTTTTTAATGTTGAAATGTTATTTATTTTTCTAATAACTGTAACATTTAAATATTTAAAGATAATATCTAACGGGAATATACGCTAAGGAAAAATTGATTTTAAATTGGTTGAATATGTATCTATTCTGTTAATTCAGTTATCATCATTTCATACATGTTTGGCAAGATGCAAGCATAATAAATATTGTTGCGAGATTAAACATCAAAAAGAAGATCCTTTTCTTGTCTTATAAAGTCGAACTTGATTTTTGTCCGGGGTGAAAATTTCTGTGATTATTCTATATAAAGGGTGTCCCAAAATTAACGCAAGATTTGAATTAAATAGAAAACACTACTAGTCGAGTTTTTAGTCTTTTGATTGTTATTTTTTTATCGAATCATAAAGTATATAGGATAGGGTTATTTGTGGAATAACACATCGGGCAAATGGCCTCCACGGCTTTGCATGCACATTCGCACTCGTTTGTCGAAATTTTCCATGACCGTTTTGCATAAATGTGGCTGAATTTCGTTGATGCAGCGTTGAATCTCTTCCTTTAATGCACGGGTGGTTGTGGGCTTGTTGACATAGACCCGTGATTTCAAATAACCCCATAAAAAGAAATCTAATGGTGTTAAATCACACGATCTAGGGGGCCAATTCTGATCACCTAAACGAGAGAGTACACGACCTGGAAACGTCTCATGCAGTAACTGAATTGTTTCACGAGCTGTATGGCATGTGGCACCGTCTTGTTGAAACCACATATTGGCCACATCAATATCATCCAATTTCGGCAGAAAGAACTGTGTTATCATGTAGCGATATCGAGCACCAGTAACAGTCACTGCTTGACCAGCCTCATTTTCAAAAAAGTATGGTCCAATGATGCCTCCAGCCCAAAATCCACACCAAACAGTGACACGTTGTGGATGCATTTGTTTTTCGACAATCACATGTGGGTTCTCCGTACCCCAAAAGCGGCAATTTTGGCGATTAACAAAGCCATCAAGGTGAAAATGTGCTTCATCGCTTAGGATGATTTTGCTCGAAAAATCAGCATCCATTTGTTGATGTTCAATAATCCATTCAACGAACTCTCTTCGCTGTGCATGGTCATTAGGCTTCAGTTGTTGTGTTAGTTGAATTTTGTAAGCATGGAGACACAGATCTTTAGTGAGTATACGCTGTAGAGAGCTTCTTGAAATTTGCAATTCTTGTCCACGACGCCGAATTGAGGTTCCTGGATTGTCACCGACACTCTCACGCACTGCTTCGATATTGACATTTGAACGGCTTGTTTTTGGACGACCAGTGTGTTTGGCGTCTCCAACTGATCCAGTCTCCCTGAATTTTTCAATTAATCTCTTCACAGTTGACGAAGTTAAAACACTATTCCGACCATATTTTGTATGAAATTTTCGAACTGCGGCCGCCAAACTTTCATTATTTTTGAAATATTGTTCAATAATGAACATACGTTGTTCTATCGTGTAACGGCCCATTTTAACTAACCCTAAACTGTCAGCTGTTAAATTGTTTTTTTTTTGGGTTGCCAACACTTTACTGTACAAATGGCGGCAAATTCAAATCTTGCGTTAATTTTGGGACACCCTTTTACTTGAGTAAAGTTAGTCTTACCCTTTATATGAAAAATGAAAAATGTTTAATGTATTTGATTCATAATTATACATTTAA